CACAGAGACACCGCTACACAGTTATAGTTCAGCACAGAGACACAATTGCACAACTGAAGCACAGAGAGTCAGGGTTATGAATCATTGCAGTCCAGAGGAGGTGCGTTCTCACTCATGAATTCTTTCAGCGTATCTTTCCCACCTGTCACCCTCTCGCTTTCAGCAGTGATACAATCCTGCGCTCTCTCTCACGTTTCCTCGTGCTCTCCCCGTGCCTGAGCTCACACGAATGACAGGCATCCGAGAACCCAGAACACCCGCCTGAGGTGTGGAAAACACAATGTCATCCTTTGTCATTTGAAAAGCGCCTCTTCTGTAATCGGACATTAGTAGTGAGTTCACACTGACTGTGCCCTGGTGCTGCCTGGAGGTCATAGGTCACCAGCCCCGTTCCCTGTCAGGGGGCGTGGCCTCCGAGCCCAGGTGCCAGGAGCTCCTGGGAGCCCCTGTGCTGAGGACTGGGAAACCCCACCTCGCCTATTGTTCTTGGGGAAGCAGGTCAAAGGTGAAGTCAATCCTTGGTTTAGTGATCAGAGGAATCTGTATTGTTTCTGTTTGCCTGTTGTAATTCCGTTTTCAAAGATGGGAGTGAAAAGAAGGGCATTTACTGGATGGATTTTTCCTGTCTGTGTGGACTAGAGTGTTTTGATTTCACTTGGATTTAAGACATTGAGGACTGAAGAGTGTAAAAAGGTAAGGTTTATTCTCAGCTGGAGGAACAAGACTTGTTTTTCACCTGGATTGTTTTGGTCCAGTTTGTTTTCTTCCTCGGCTTGTTAGACTGTAAAGCAGAAGAGGAGCTGTGCTCATGGGAAAAGAAAATCCAGTGTGAAGAGTCCTGGGATTTTCTGGAAAGGGTCCATTCTCTTGTCTTGACTGTTACAAATGCAGAGCAAGGGTGGTCCTGGCATCTGCAGACCATCGGGCAGCGCTGTGTTTGTAATCTGGGGGAGAATGGGGTTTATTGTTTGGGGGGGGTGTCTGTTCTAATGGGATGTCCATCCAGATGTGAGTTTGAAACCAACAACAGGAGGTGCTGTTCACACAGATGGTGGCGGCAGTGTGGAACCAGAAGCCGATAACCCAGCTTCTGTCAGGGAACAGCTGGATGAGACAGATCCATTAACTACTAATGAGCAAAAGGCATGAGCTGAACTGTGTGTAACTTTGTGTGTAACTGAGTTAAATGGGGGAAAAGGGAATGTATTCACGCCTCTTGTCCTCCTGAGTGCAATTATATTTTGACACAGAAATCTGAGGCATGATGGTTGATTCAATTGTCAGTATAATGATTGTTTGGGAATTGGTGCCAGTGAACAGGCTTTGGAACAGTACTGTAGCTCTGGTAAATGAAAATATTATTTGAAGTTTTCGTTATTGTTTTTACTGCTTTGTGAGCTCCACTCTGAGGTGGTGACACTGAACGTCAATTCCTGCTTCTCTCAAAAAGACCAAATATTTCCTTAGGTCAGCGGTGTGTGTGATTCTGATGGATTTCAACCTTGACCTCTTACCTAGATAACATGATAGCAATGACACTGATATATTCCTGCACTCGGCTCTCTAGTCACTAGATTGTCTAGTCCAGAGTATTTAGAGGTCTTCCTTCTAACCAGATTTTGTACACAGTGAGTCTCTGTCAGGCAGATGGACAATCACACTGAGTCTCTGTCAGTGAGACAGCTGGACACTCACACTGAGTCTCCACTAAGGCACATGGCAGAAAAAAGAGCACAGGAAGCCATAAACCCCTCCCTCTTCGCGTCTTCATCGTGCTCTGGCTCTGTCGCACTGCCTCTGATACAGACAGAAGGAGGTTTCAACTGAACGGGACCATGCTGAGAGAAACAGGGAGACATCAGAGATGGTGATGAGACACAGCGATCAGGCGAAATAGAAAGAAAGAGACAATGGCTGAAATTGATGTGTATGCTAATATAAAATCTTCCAAAGCCGCAAGAAAGAATGACCAAGCGACCGGCCGCCCTCCAGCGCAGCCACGACCTGCTCACAGTAAGTAGTTCATCACTATAGCCCCTGTCTGATTACTGCACAGTAGCACTGTCATACTGCCTGTGTGCTCCATTATAACACTGAGATACTGTCTACTGCACTGGAGTGCTGTCTGCGACTTACGTACTACTTTGTTGTCCTAAATGGGAAATTTGCTTTACGGGCAGGTAAAAGACATAGCATAACACGCCATACATTTAACACAACATGAAGCAAGAGACATATTCACGGTACGATGAGAAGGAACAAAACATCCATCTAAAAATAAATTAAATTCACATCGAATACATCTGTTGAAAGGAAAGATGACTTAGTTCTATTGCCTTTGAATCTAGGGAGTCAAAATGGGGAGAGCAGCTCAGATTCGCTCTGCAAGGGCTGGTCAGGACAGTCCAGGGATTCAGTATACTGTCTGTTAGCCTTCTGCACTATTTGTCTGATGTAAATGTCTGAAAGCTGTAGCTGTGGTGCACCAGTGATTTTGCCAGATACCTTCACAATCCTGCTTAGTTTCCTTTTTACTGCATGTATTAAGGTCACTAACCCAGGCTACCGCAGTGAAAGCCAGGGCAGAACCAAACGATAGTTGTATAGGAAGAAAGTCATCGGTCATCGTCAGGAAGAGCCATCGCTGTGGGCTCTTCTTAAATGTGGTAGCCATGTTCTTCTGAAAGGTCAGCTTGTGATCAACAACATTGCGGTTGGAGACATTTTTTCCGCTTCCTCAGAAAAGACAGTTGCGCGCAGACTGACAGCGACAGAGTTATCGGCTAAGTTAATCACTGGGTCTGTCCTAAGAAGGGCTTCTACAGCCGTCTGTATACAGAACGGAGAAGATGGCGGACAACACTCAGAGAGGGAGAGGACATAGTGGAAGAGCAAAGCTACCCTGATTGAAGACCACTCACCCTCACTCTCTGGGATCCTTTGGTCAGAAAGTCTAAGATCCAACCTACGTATGACGGTTAAGTCTGGATGACATTGTCAGAGCCCTCTCTCCACTAATAATTGTGATTGCATGGTGTTCAAGGCTGATAGCCGAAAGTGCCCCCTTTTCAGAGCTGCTACAACAAACAGAAAAGCAGATGAAGCAAACCTCAGAGGCTTTGATCTCTCTTTCTACACCTCTCAGATTCTGGGCAAGACAAAAGGTCCTTTTCTAGTTTACCTGCCGTAGTATTTTTGACCAGCCTGAGACTGTAAATATGTTTGTGGGTCACAATTTTTAATTTTCTGAGGATTGCTCCTCTGTTTTTATTTCTCGTATATCAAGTCTTTCTCTATCATGTTTGCTACCCTGTTTCCTCCTACTTCCAGCCCTGTTGAATCAATGGGTGCAAACATAAGCTGGCTCAGATAGACAGGTCGGTTTTATTTGTTTTCAAAGCTGAGAGGAGGCACTTCTTTACACAAAGGGTAGTGTGGGAATCTATCCAGTCAAAGACACTCTGGCTTCTTCAATGAAGAGCTTGATGAGATCCTTCAAGCAGTTAGATGCTAGGAAACAAAATACAGTAGCTAGGGGGCTTGAGTTGACCTTCGATTTCTTGTCTCCAACAATGGTCCTGTAGAGCTCCATTCAGCGGTCTATAACTCTGGTCCTGGAGAGTCCTGGTCCAGTTACTACAGAAATCTCTAACCCTGGTCCTGAAGAGCTCTGGTCCAGTAAGTTTTGTAGGTCATCCGATTTTAATCACGGGCAACATGTGTGAGTTATTGATGAATCAAACCAGTAAGGTGTCCAGATGGGAGACCTATAGTCCTCGAGGGCTGATGATGAATTCCAAATGACTTCTTGTAACACATCGCCTGTTTAATCGATCACAACAGGATTGTTCCATATCTTTAGAAACGAGTGTTTTCATGGTTCCTTAGAATTTGTTGATGTTAATAGTGACCTACACGGAAAAAGAAAATGGCTGGATTGGTGCTCTCCAGGTCCAGAGTGGGAGTTTCCTGCTATAGAGGGACATAGTTTTATACGTTCTTATGTCACCAAATTGATGAGGGAGCCACTGCTGACCAGGACCCAGCGCGGTGAATCCCAACCAGGCTCCACCTGCTGGTGGATGGAGGATCAGCGACAAGCCCCTCCGGTCCTACAGGAGACTACAGTGCTCCTGTCACGACGGGGTGAAGGAGAGAGCGAGTCCGCGGTGCTCCCGTCACGACGGGGTGAAGGAGAGAGCGAGTCCGCGGTGCTCCCGTCACGACGGG